TGAGATTTTTTTGGTATTTAAGAGCCACCTGATGCTTTCAGAGGCAAGTAACTGAGTGTTTTGGCTGCAGGAAAGGGTAATCCACGTGAAACACCTGTGCCTGCCCTCTGAATGGTGAGGAAAAAGAGAGAAAAATCCCAAATGGGATCAGTCTGTCCAGAGCCTCTCCAAAATCCTTCATCTCTACCATTTTCCTGCTTTGGGGCTGTTTGTTCCCCATCAGGGATGCTCTGGCAGCTGCTGCTCCCCTGAGATCAACAGGCGTTTCCAGGGCACCTTTCGCCAATGGATTTTTTTCCCAAAAAGACCATGATTTTAAAGCAAACGCAAATAATTCTGTCGATAAACACCTGCAAGCTGGCTGAATCAGTAAAGATTCAGCTGTTGGGGAAAGGCGAGAAGGAAGCAGGGCTCTGCGTGGTGATGCTGACTGCGAGCAGCAGGGCAGTGGTTAATGGTTAAATAGTGAATGGTTAAATGACTCACTGGTTTTGGGGTTACCCGCTGTGGGAAACAGGGCCGGTCATGTTTCTGCAGGCCACTTGGAAGCCCAGATGTGACTTATCATCCCCATTTTTATCTGTTATTCAGCATTTGGGCTGCATTTTCCAACCTAACCATGAGGGTGAGCTTTAAGGAAAAAGGCTGGAAATGTCCTGTGGGCTGTGGGGCCTGGGCAAAGATTTGCCAAGCCCACCCTGGAAAGGCGACGCCATGGCCACCCCTTTACCCCTGCCTGCTTTTACCAGCCCAGATGCACCCCTGGGGGCTGCGGATTTGGCTTGGGGGTCTCTCTTGACCTTTCCTGTTGCTTTCCCAGACGCGACGGTGACATTTGTGGACGCCGAGCAGCGCTCGTGGTTTGACCCCGCGCTGTGGCAGGCCGTGTCCCCCAGTGGGGAGCTCGAACCGAGCGGGCCCATCTTCTCCGTGGATGAGGAGCGCGTCCCGTGCCACTACGATGATGTGATCTTCCAGCCCCAAACCTCCTTCCGGGTGAACGTCGACTCGTCGCGGCGGGTGATTCCCCTCCGCAGCATCTCTATCATGGGCCAGGTAATGCGGGGATGGGGAGAAACGGGCCGGACACCTCCCTGCCATGGCCGTGAAGGAGGTCAGGAGAGGAAGGACCAGGGGCATGACGAGATGGGGCACTTTGCTGCTGATGGTCTCCATGATTTTTTTCCTTTACCGGTTTATTATCTCCTCCCTCCCCGCAGTGAGGGAGCACAGGCTCACTATTCACATTAAAAATTAAAGAAATGGCCAATGCGCAGGGGTCAAACCACCAGCAAACAGCATCTCCTCCAGCACCCAGGGGATGCCCCCTTCCTGGGCACGTGTCCATGCCCGTGCTCCTCAGGGACCCCCGGGGACGCTTCCCTCCTGCCCCTGACCTTATCATGGCCTAGCAGTCGTCTCCCAGCTTTGCTTCAGCTCCAATCTTTAATTGATTGGAGGGATAATTATAGAAGCGCCGGCAGCCTGCTGCCCGAATGAGCCCTGGCCCTCGCTGGTCGGAGCAGGGAAGGGTCGCAGGAGCTGCAGCAGTAAACACACGCTCCTTCCCGACGCGGGAGATGCGGCAGGCGTTTCATAAGTTATTTATTATTTCTACCGCTGCGCTTGCCTGGGAGCTGCCATTTCAGGGCCAGCCATTAGAGAACAGGTTTTTGAGTAATAACCAGGTGGGTTTGGACAAGGCAGGACCCTGATGGGGGGGCACAGGTAGCCCTGGGGGTGCAGAGGTGGGTGACCCAGGGTGCTTGGTGTTGCTGGTCCCACTGATGCCCAGGGACCACCCCAAATCCACCCCCCATGGACTGCAGCTGACTGTGCCCCAGCGCAGAGAATGAGACAGAAGGAGAAGCTGCATTTTATTTTTGTGATTGTAGCATATTTCCTAAAAGCACACTTTATAAGCGGCTTTGTCCCTTGGTAGCCAGCCCACTCCTTGCTCTGTGGGGTGTATTTTCACCCCAGGGCTTGAGAAGTCCGTCCCATGGAAGGCAGTGGGTGAGGGACTCACCATCAGCCTGACAGGACAGGGCTGGACCCCTTTGCTAATGCTGAGCCCATGGAAACACTTCCCAAATTGAGGGAAAACTCCTCAGATCCAGCCCCTTCCTCCTATATTTAAAAGCTGATAAATTGAATTCTCTGGTCCAGCAGAAAGAGGGAAAACAAAAAGGGAAAAAAAAAGGACCAACCAAAATAAGAAGGGGAAAAAAAGAACCAACCATCTCAAGATTTATTTTATAGAATTATTAAGGTTGGAAGAGACCTCTAAGGTCATCAAGTCCAACCATCAACCCAACCCAGCCCCACCATGGCCACTAAACTATTTGTGGTCCTTGCATTTGTTTTTAAATTAGAAAGGTTGACCCCTTTTTTGCTGACCCCATGGAACATCCTCACTGAGCGTAGTGGCAGGTTTTTCCTGCTGCACTCAACGCCCGTCATAGGACTCCCCCAAACTGCCCGTCAGATGTGGCACGTGGGGCTGGCCCAAGGAGGCCATCAGAGGTGGCATCGGGTGTCCTGGTGGCACCAATGGGTGCCTGGGGACAGCGCTGGGGCCTGGCTGGGGCCGCTCACCCTTTTTGCTGCTCTTCCTTGCGCAGGAGCTCAGCACCCCCCAGGCCTGGGCCGGGTACCTGCAGGGTCCCTCCGCGTCGCTGCAGTTTCACGGCAATGGCACCCTCCAGGTGACGGGCACCGGCTGCACCGACAAGTCCGGCTGTGCCTGCGGGAACACCCCGGTGAGTCCTCCCGTTGTGATTTAGGGGGTGTCATTGCAATTTGGGGGAGTCAGAGGAAGGGGCAAGGGACTGACACTGCTCTCCTTTAGGACAGCCACCGCATCTGCGCAGCCCTGCTCGGAGCGTCAGGGAGACAGTGCCCAGCGCTGAGCTGCCGGAGCCCTTTGCAGCCCCTTGGCCACTGCTGCGGGGTCTGTGGTGAGTTGAGGGGCATGGCCCAAATCCTCCTCCCCATCCAACTCTGTAGGGGAAAGCTGGCGGGGGGGATGCTGCTGGGCTGGGGTCTGCGTGCTCATGGGCTGAAGTTTTGCCGTAGCGCTGCTCTCACGGATCCCATCCACATCCCACATCCCACCCAGGACATCTCTCTGAAGCACCAGCCTGGGTTTTGGGAGCCAGATCTGAGTTGCAGCCCTTTTGTCCCTGCCTCTGGTTCATCCTGTCAGGATGTCACAGCTCGTCAAGCTAATAGGGCTCTGCTGAGTTTACGCAGCGGAAAACACTCGAGGGGAACGCACCTTTTTTCACCGTAATGTCAGCTCCCCAGCAGCAAGCTTGTTTCGTTTCATTTAAAATAAAACCACGCAGATTGACAGCATTCCCTCTGCAATGAGCACTTCTCCATTAATCCGCCTGGAAGGGGAATTTTTCATGCACAATTGTACCTAGATATTTGGTACATCGTGCCAAATTCATTAAAATGGTGCCACGTGTTTCTCCGATGTGCTCCTAAAAGCGGAGCCTTTTAAAGCCTTTAGGACAAGTTAATCTTTCAACAAATGCTTACTTGCATTTTTCCCAAGGAGAGGTTTGACCCGATGGCTGCAGTGCAGCGATACGGGGAGTCCCAGATGTCCCCTCCTCTCTGCCTTGTCCCCAAAGCCAGGGTAGCATTGCTGAATTGCAGCCTTGCAGCCCCAAAACCCAGACACATGCAGAGCTTCCCAGGGGAAATATGAAGGAGAAAGATTTTCAGGACAAGGCTCTCTCTGGAATATGGTGGAAACCAAAAGCCTTTCATGAAACCCAGTGAGCAAGGGAAAGGTTTCTTGGGGAGCCCAGTCAGACCAGTTGCATGGAGGTACTGGAGGGTGCCCGGTTCCCTCGGTGGCAGTCAGAGCTGTGCCACTGCAGCAGCTCTGCCCAGACTGGGTGACAATGTTGTGTCTGTCTGTTCTGGGGCCGCAGGAGCCATCGTGAGCCTGGATTTCACTCCTGACTTCGACCTGCAGAAGTACCAGGACAGACTGGTCCAAGCCTTGCTGAGCCAGGTACAACAGCCCGATGGATCTGTGGGATCTAACGAAGCCATCGGCCACGGCTGCTGGTGACTCGGTGTCTGGGGATCAGCATGGTCCCAGAGATGCAGGGGGTTTTTCGTGGCTGGCTGTAGAGGTGATTAATTCCTGCCTACTGCTCTCATGGGCTTTACATGTTGCCTCGTGTTTCGGAAAGCCCAGGTACGCCGGCGTGCGGATGGCCATGTCCAAGGTGCACAAAGCGCAGACCTTCCTGGGAGTCGTACCCCGAGGCTCCGCTCCCCTCATCCAAATCGTGCTGATGGATGACGGGGTGGGAGCGCAGACCGGCACCGCTGCGGAGCAAATGGCAGGGGACATCATGGAGGACGTAGCACAGCACGGTAACACCACCGTCCTTGGGGGGTCCTAAAGGGGTGCACCTAAAGCCACTGCTTTAGTCCAGAGACCCTTGTCCCTCACCAGCAGCCCCCATGGCTGCCCCATGTCCCTGCTCTGACACCAGGGAACCACACGGGGATTGGGTGGCAGCTTGGTTGAGGCTCCCTGAGTTGGACAATCCTCAGGTCCTTGTTCTCCTTGGTCTGGGTTGTCACAGCTCTGAGCCTTCCTAGCACACATAGGGCATTTTGGATCATTTTGGCTTACCTGGAAGTTTTACCACTTTAACCATAGCAGAGCTGTGGGGTCAGAACCACCAGGGTTGGCAGAGACCTCTGGAGACCATCGGTCCCTCTCCAAGAGCAGGATGCACAGAGCTGCGTCCAGTAGTGATTTGGATCTCTCCAAGGATGGAGACTGCAGGCAGCCTGTCCCCACGATTGGCCACCTTTGCAGTAAACCAGTTTTCCTTATGTTTAAGTGGGATTTACTGGATTTCAATCTGTGCCCTGTCATCGGGCACCGCTGAGAAGAGCCTGGCTTGGCGCTCCAGCTGTGTTTTACAGCCCGTTTAAGCTGGGAGATGCTGGTGAGCCTGCAGATGACAACGAGGGGATCTGGTGCTTGATGTGTGGGTATGGACATGTCACAGTTGAGCCCACCCAGCTGTGTCTCCCACCCCCAGGGAAGGATGTTAAACCATATTAGCGGTGCCAGACCCAACTTTGGCCTTCCTCTGTGTGAAAGTCAGGGTGATGCATGGGTGTGGGTGTGCATTGCCCCCTCCAGTCCTCACCCCTGTTTCTTCCTGCCCTTTCCCAGGTGAAGCACTTGGCATTTCAGGTGGCAAAATGGAGGTGGCCACTGGCAGCACCCTCAGTGGGCAAGTGGGGAGCCACGCGTTGAGCAGGATCGCAGCAGGGACGGTCTCGGGGCTGCTCTTTGGTCTCCTGCTGCTTGGAGGGATCCTCTTTCTCTACAGAAAGGGAAAGCTAAGGTAGGGATGGGGTTTCTGCTGTATTTTCAGGCTTCTGCTTGGGGGCAGCTGTCACCTCAGGCTGTCCTTAAATCCTGGTGGCACAGGGACACACAGTGCTGCCCAGAGCTCCCATGGGGGTGGGCATGGCCAGGCAGCCTGCTCTACCCAATGTTACTGATTCATAGAGTCACAGAAAGGCTTGGGTTGGAAGAGACCTTTGAATATCACCCAGTCCAACCCCCATGGGCAGGGACACCTCCACCAGCCCAGGCTGCTCCCAGCCCCATCCAACCTGGCCTTGGGCACTGCCAGGGAGGGGGCACCCACAGCTTCTCTGGGCAACCTGGGCCTCATCACCCTCACAGGGAAGGATTTCTTCCTAATATCCAGGCTAAATCTGCCCTGTTTTAGTCTAAACCCATTGCCCTTCATGTTCCTCATCGTTTATTGGAGGTGAGTCAGCAGTTGCACTGGCAGGGGCTGCCTGGGACAGTGGTGCAGTCCCCATCCCTGGAGGTGTTTAACAGATGGGCAGATGAGGTGCTGAGGGCCATGCTTTAGTGGTGGCCAGGTTGTGGTTGGACTCGATGATCTAAAAGGTCTTTCCCAACCAAATAACTTTGTGACTCTATGAAAGGGAGGGACAGCGTCCAGCAGCAAACGCAGCTTTCCCCCGCCAGGGTTTCCTCACCGTTTGCCGTGCCGTCCCACACGTGCTGACACGACATTTCCCAGCAGTAAACCCACGCCTTTGTTTAATTTCTAAATAAAACTCCCGGCCCCGTAACTGCGACTCGATGATTTATCTCCCGCTGACACTTCTTTGGACGCCGGGCAGGCCTTTGCAACCGGCCCCGTCAGCAGTGGCAGGGAAGTTCACGTCGCTCCAGGAGACGGAGCTGAGCCCACGCCAAGGCCACGTCCTCATGCAACCCCTCCTGCTGTGTGTCCTCAGGTGCCCTCGGGGCAGGGCCCTTTGGGGCAGCGCTGCCCAGCATCGGGGAGGCATCCCACACCCACAGGGGTGCTGCAAATCGAGTGGGAGGCTCTGGGAGCTGTCTGATCACCAGCAAAGCAGCAAATCTAGCTTATTTCCCAAAAGAAGGGCCTGGTAGATGGCACAGCTCCTCTGATTGCATTTATAGAGCCCATGGTCAGAGTGGTTAAGTACCAGTGAGCTTTTGGGACCTGTGGTGATGTCTGGGGACCTACATCCTGCGGTGGGGACCTGCTGAGCCCACCCGCTCCCGGTGCCCAGTGCAGGAGGTGATGCTTGGAGACTTATCCCTTAGGATAAGAGTAATGAAGGAAATAAATAACAGCAGTAGTGATGGTGATTAAGATGATAAAATGATACTGCGATAAGAGCAATTGGTGCTTGTTGAGATTGCAGTGGGAACAAGTGTCAGCTCTGGGACAATTCATTTTAGGCCATGGGGGGAGAGCAGTGGCTCCGAAGCAAAGCCTGTGCCAGAGCTGTCTGCCTCTGACAAACTCTTCCTCCAGGATGCAGTCCCAGCCCTCCACGTTTCGTGGTTTCTGCTGGATATGGCAGCTTTTTCCCTGGGAGTGGGACAAACACCCTGCTTCAAAGCCAGCCTAAACTTTTTCCCCGTATTGTCCCATCCACCGCTGGAAGATGCCGGGTTTCAGCTGGGGATGCAGGCGGGTGATGCCCAGGTCTCTCCCCAGGTTGCCCACCCTGCGCCTCGCTTGGCCCTGGCACAGAATGGAGGAGCCAGGGTCCCCTGCGCCGGTCGGTGACAAAGGCTTCGACAACCCCATGTTCGACGTGGTGAGTCAGCCCTGACGGGTAAATGGGGACACTTGGGGACACGGGCGGGAGGTGGCAGGGCCCCAGCCAGGACCCCTTGAGTGTCAGTGGGGGGCTCCTGGCAGGGTCCTCCTTTCCCCAGGCCATGGGCTGTTTTTTGTACAATCCCATTGTCATTAAGGTTGAAGAAGCCCTCTAAGATCACCAAGTCAACCCAACCCCACCATGGCCACTAAACCACGTCCCCAAGTGCCACATCCACACGGTTTGTGAACCCCTCCAGGGATGGGGACTCCACCACTGCCCTGGGCAGCCCCTGCCAGTGCCTGACCACTCTTTCAGGGAAGAATTTTCCCCCCCAAATCCAATCTAACCCTCCCCTGGCACAACTTGAGGCCATTTCTCTCTCTTGCTGCTGCAGGAGCCACCGAGCGCTGTCCCTGGAGAGGAGGCACCACAGGAGATGGCACCCAGAGGCCACCAGGTTTTCTACCTCAACCCCCTGTACGACGCAAACGAGACGGAGACCTGACAGCGCGGCCACCACCTCCCGGGGACACTCCAGCCCTCACAGCCCCTCGCATCGCTCCTGCCGGGACCCAAACCGTGAGCAGATCCCAGCTGAATAAATGTGTCCGCGTGGTGAAGGAAACCACAGCAAACCTTTACCATTAGGGCCAACCACACAGGCATGGCCTCCTGGGTGTTGCTTCCTGGTTTTAAACTGCATTTTGGAGGTACTGATCCTTTTTAGGCTGTTCAGCACTGAGGTTTGGGTCTCAAGCGGTATCTGGAGAAGGACCCCAGGGGCTGGGGGTGGTGGCCCTGGTCCTGTCTCTAACGAGGCCCGGGGTAGCGGTGGCACCGAGGGGGTCTCGTTAGCGGTGGCGTTCGTTTGGGGTCTGGTGGGTATCGAGGCCCCTCATCTGCCCGCAATGTCAGGCAGCGCTTCGTCAAGGGAGCAGGTCTGATGGGTGAGGCTGAAATTATGGAGATGTATGCAAATTCATGCAAATTCACACTCTATTGGGTTTTCAGTAGGGCTGGTTGGCGTATTCCATAAGGAAGCAGCTATTTTAAGTTTATTGTATTTTGTTTGAGTCTCGGGAAGACATAATCCCTTCTCAAAGACCCGGGGATTCATCGTTGAGTGCATCACTGCGCTGACAAGGGGTGACAGAGCCCTGACAAGGGGTGATAGGGCCCCAACAGGAGGTGTCAGAACCCTAAAAGGGGGTGATAGAGCCCTGACAAGGGGTGATAGAGCCATGACAAGGGGTGACAGAGCCCTAACGAGGGATGACGGAGCCTGGCCACATCAAAACGCAGAGGAAGCCATTGAGGGGCTGACAGCACCAGGTTGGCAGCAGCCAGGTCCCACCACCCCATGGTCCTGCAGCAAGGGCATCGCCATGGACTGCAATGACCCAGGGACAGGTCCCCAAAACTTCCCCCCCCATATCCCATAGCATCCCAAGGGACCCCCTTTTGCACCCCAAGCCCTGATGAAGCCGGTGAGGCACTGGTACCACAACGTTTCCATGGTGCCTGTGGAGCAGCCGCTCATGGCAGCAGAGGGGAGACATTCACATCCATGTATTTTTATGGTTTCTTTTGTTTCCCCTTCTAAATCAGTTCATCCACGTGACTCACTCTTCTTTAGCTTTCACTAATATCAGGTATTTTCCCTGGCTGAGGCTGATGGAGGCCGTCACAGTGGGCAGCCCATGGCCCCAGCTCTGCCCCACACAAGGAGGGGACTCAGGACCATCCTGGGGTACAACCCTCCCCTCCCACTGCTGCTTTTGGGCATGGCCAGGGCTCTTGGTGGCTGCATCCCCGTGCTGAAGGTGAGGCAAGAGCATCCCATGGCCACAGGCTGGGGAGGGACAAGGTAGCGGGGTGTACGGCTTCACCGCCGCCGAGGCTTCGTTTTTAAAATGCATGAGCAGCTCGAGGTCACTTACAACAGAGGCTTTAATTAAAGCAGAGATCAATTTTTGTCAGCGCTCTCGCAGAGCACGCTCTGTACTTTGCCTTCAGGAGCCACCGTGGCCTCGTACAGAAAACGGGGGGGAGGTGGGGGAAACTCTGCAGGAAAAACACCCAAAAAAGCGGCTGCATCCACGGGCACTGCCCTGTGCCCCAGCACACAGACAGGGGAACACAGCAGGTTTGGGTACATGAGGGTCCCTCCTGGGATCCTGCCTAAATAAGGGATTTAATTCTCAGCCATCTGCAGTGAGTGGTGTCAGATCGGGGGGGGGCGGTTTGTGCTGCCTGGGCACCTGATGGCTTTGTTTTTGCTGCTGGTCCTGAGCGCCGAGGGTCCCCACTGCGACGGATTAATGCAGAATGCAGTGGTGTTAATGGTGAGAGCTCTGGAGCTGCTGCTTCCCGGGGTCTGGATAAGAAAAAACAACTTGTGCACGATTAATGGACACCAACTCCTGACATTGCACCCTACAGCTGGGGTGTAAGTTGTGTGTAAAAGTGCAAATCCAGATTCAGCCAATGCAGCAGCACTCGAAATAACCACTGAGCCTGCAAAATGGCCCAGTGCAATTTATTTGTCCATTAATTTTATTTGTATTTAGCAGAAGGGAGGGGATTTGGCTGAGGCCAGAGCTGTGGCCGTCTCCTCCATCCACACAGCTCGTTCAGATGAGACGCTGGGAAGCAAGCGCTGCTGCAAAAGCATCCGAAGGTTTTTATCTCTGAGCAAACAGCCGCTAAAGCTGCACAAACCGCGCAGTCAGGTGATGAAAAAGCGCTGCAGCTTTCTGGGGAGCGGGGAGAAGCTTTGCTGCAAGGCTGGGAGCGGCGGATGGCTGGGGCTGGGTTCCTCCTCTGGCTGCAGCACAGCACTGCAGAGCTCCTCTGCGGAGCACGTCTCGCGCCTGTCCTCGGCTCACCCCACCAAAACGCTGCGCTGAGCATCGCCGGGACGCCCAGGTTTGGCTCTGCCTGCGCTGAGCATCGCTGGGATGTGATCTGCCCAGGTTTGGCTGTCCCTGGGCTGAGCATCACTGGGATGTGATCTGCTGAGGTTCAGTTCTGCCTGGGCTGAGCATTGCTTGGATGCACTGCCCAGGTGTGGCTTTCCCTGTGCTGAACATCACTGGGATGCACTGCCCAGGTTTGGCTGTCCCTGGGCTGAGCATCGCTGGGATGCACTGCCCAGGTTTGGCTCTGCTTGAGCTGAGCATCACTGGGACGTGATCTGCTGAGGTTCAGCTCTGCCTGCGCTGAGCATCACTGGGATGCACTGACCAGGTTTGGCTGGGATGCACTGCCCAGGTTTGGCTCTGCTTGAGCTGAGCATCACTGGGACGTGATCTGCTGAGGTTCAGCTCTGCCTGTGCTGAGCATCACTGGGATGCACTGACCAGGTTTGGCTCTGCCTGGGCTGAGCATCACCAGGATGTGATCTGCTGAGGTTTGGCTCTGCCTGCGCTGAGCATCGCTGGGATGCACCACCCAGGTTTGGCTCCCTGGCATCCCACACCTGATGCCCACTCTCGTTGTCACCCCTTGTCCCCAGAAACGCATCCCGCTGCTGGTGCTGAGCCCCAGGCTGTGGGGCAGCAGCTCTGTGCTGGGCAAGGGTGGCCCCGGCCGCAGCCCTTGACCCAAGGGACGCAAGGGGACATGGAGAGGGGAGTCACGGTGACAGGGGTGCGAGGAGGCGGTGGTCCAGAAGGGAACGCTGCTTCCTGGGCTGTCCTCCTTGCTCCTGGGGCTGCTCATGGAGCAGGCAGAATGCAAGCCAGGACAGGAGATAGGTTTGTAGCCTGGCATTGCTCTTTTTTTCTGCTTTTCCCTTTAAAACAGGCCAGATCTGGCACCAGGCAGAGGTCTGTGGGCAGCATGTGGCACCTTCCTTGGGCTGGTTTGTCATTTAACTGTCCCAGGGGTGCAGTTCAGCTCCTGCAGGCACCGCTCCCCTGCACCTCAGTGCTTTACCCCAGCCCTGGCAGCCGTGGGCATCTGCTTTCTCCCAGTGATGCTCATTCGGCTCCGTGGAGAACATTTCCACCTGAAATCCACCCCCTGCTCCAGACAGGGGTGATGGAGGTGGGTTTAGATCTTGGGTGGCAAGGGACACCAGGATGGACCCTGAAATATCTGTGTTTTGGGGTGAAGATCTGTGCTGGGGAGGGGTTCACCCATCACCCCCCAGCTTTGGGACCTGCGCCTCTGTGAAAACGGGGTGGGTAGAGACCAGTATCTGTGTTTTGGGGTGAAGATCTGTGCTGGAAGTGACCAACCTGTGCTGGGGAGGGGTTCACCCATCATCCCCCAGCTTTGGGACCTGCACCTCTGTGAAAACGGGGTGGGTAGAGACCAAATGATCCCCATTCCTGACTTGTGCTGCTGGACCCTCCAGGGAGAGAGGGACACGGCACATCCAGCCCCCAGTTTCTGCCCTTCTCAACGCTTCCCCAAGGGCTGAGCAGGGCTCTTTGGGTAAAACCCCTAAGGGAAATGAGGGTTTGCAAAGGGCTGCGGTGGAGGAACTCTGCTCGGCCAGACTCAAAGAAACAAAACAAAGAGAGAAGAATAATGTATTCACACGGAGCAATTAATTTATTTTTCTAGAAACGTTCTCCTGCTTAAATTATTCCCGAGCCCTGGCGCTGCCGAGTGCTATGATTTAATACCCCCGTAATTAAGGACTTTGTTGTCATCCCCAGTCCTCGCCGTGCAGAGGAAAAATCAGCTCAAGAGCAGCAGAAACGTTTTGGAGAAGGCAAAGACTGATCAGGGCAAGGCCGTGCGGGAAGGCGTCCGGCCCCCAACCCTCCCAGCAGCATCACCCCCCACCCGGGGGCGTTTTTGGGGGCCGAGCAGCCCCCGGCCGTGCCCAGGCCAAGGAAGAGCAGGGTCCAAATCATCCACCACGGCCTTCCCCAATAACCTGCAGTAAAGCTGGGGGAGGCAAGGTGAGAAATCCAGGAGCTCCTGGGCACCCCATAAGGGATGAGGGGAAAGGGGAGCTCCTCAGTGCTCAAATAGTGGGGTACAAGGGGGGTTTTTAAATGAAACACCCCTCTATCAGGTTTGTCACACACCAGTCCTTGCAATGCTCCTCGGTGTTTCTTTGGGGCTACTGCTCTGACACCGAGTCAAAAATCCTGTTCTATCACACTTGGGATGGCCGAGCAGATCCCGCAGTCCCCTGCTGTGCTTCGGCCATAAGGAAATAACCATATAAATAATTCTGTAATTAATTAGTAGGGCCAGCGGCTCCGTGAAATGACAACTCCAACGCAAAATTTCCACGCTGGATTCCACCAAAAGGACTTTCACGGTTCCTAAACCTGCACTTCTGTGCAGAAACGCACCCCTTTCCCCCTGCGTTCAGGTATTTGGCTTCCAAATACCGTGCAGGTTGTGTCAGACGTCCCCAGGTGGATTCACCACGCGGCTAAAGCAAGCGGCAGCGGCTGTTTTCATGTCAAGACAGACGACTGTGAGCTTTAAAACCTCCCTCTTCTGCTTTATTGACAGGTAAATTGTCCAAAAATG